ATATAAGTTTCCCACACACCGAGCAGGAGGGCGAGACGGCTTAGTGGTAAGATCGCGAATTTACTGACTGGAAGGTCCGTGATTCAAATCTGATCTCTGCACTTCGACTTTTCCTGTATGGGCTTGGGCAACCTAGCAGTATACCAGCCCTCGTGCTTTCTTCGGGTGCCATAGCAATTAGGCACTGAAAGGGTGTTACAGATGAACGAGCAGGATATAATGCGTTTGGTGTTTCCGGTAATCAAATCAATCAAAAACAGAGTTCCGTTTTTCAAACTCATAGGTGAATAGCATGTTCAGGTGGACAGTCGTAGAAGCGGAGCACCTATTAGAGCCGTTTTGGATTATTTGGGCACAGTAAAATATCATTAAAGTCTCTTTTTTCGTGAGCACTTGTTGTAAATCGGCCTCTACTGTTTGTTTGATTATAAATGTGTCGGTAAGCGTTGGTCACATAGAACTCCCCATTGACAGCACAAACTTAGTTGAAGCAGGTGACCCACAAGCGTCAGCTGGACATGCTCAGTGCATTGTGAAGCAATATAGTAAGAACCATGGTTGGAAATATAGTGTTGCTTTGCTGTGATTCCAGATGTTCAACTGGACTCAGTAAGATGAAACATAACAAAGGATGAAAGCACGCCAAAAGAACACATTGGTAATTTAGAGAAACCGATGTGTTCTAACCACTGAAAAACTAAGAAACTGTATGAATGATGGAAGTCGACTGATTCCTTAAAAGGACAGCTGAAATTGTTGGAACAATGGTGTGCAAACTATTCGCAATTGCAACTAAGTAAAGTCTTCATTGACTTGACGTAGTGTGGCGTTCATAGATTATGAATACATTAAACGCCGTATCGAGCGTGCAAAGCCTCAGATTTTATTGACTGGATATATGTATTTGTATGCAGTGATCCGTGGTTGGGCAGCCCCCTGTAGAATCTCCCTTGAAATCTAGCAGCAGATGTGCCCAGCCATTAAACGCCTAATTTGTAGTGACACGTCAGCCAAACACCACAGTAGAATTACGAGCTTCACCCATATAGGCTGTTAGTCAAGCACTGAGTACAAACTCGAAGGCAGTGGGTTGTGGGGCTATTGCGATATTCGAGATGCCGCAACACACTACACTTGAGGCCACTGAAAACTCTTCAACAGCCTTCGACTGACGTCTACCTTCTTGTGGCTCATCAGCTAGGTATCTGCGTCGACACCGACGCACAGACCGTTTCTGACTGATGTGATATAAAGCCATTGGTTATAAAGGAGTACATTCACCCAGCCGAGTAGGCACGATGTGAAAGAATATGGGCGTCCTGGGTTGTTAACCCGAGAAAAAAGCCGGAGACGGCAGAGCGGACGGGCAGAATACAATGCCTCGATCAACAAGACTGGCCGTCTTCACGGTCCATTATTCGTATTTCACCATTGAGTACTGTATTATTTGGTAGACTAAATGTTCTTATTGCGGTACGAAATGTAACTGACTGTTCATAAATTTGGCCGTAAATAAGTGACTCAATCTACTTCTGTTGAGTCGATCCGTCAAAATTCTGACGAACAGCTTTAGTTTCTTCCACACACCTTTCGTCAATAACCTTGTGGACATAACTGAGCGTATTTTGCCGTGATGTTGGCTTGGGACAATAAGAGGAACCCAGAAAAATGTTGGACCACTGTAATCGTCCATTTTAAGCATATGTGACCACATTGATGGATAGACTCCACGGAAGGGATATGTTGAGTGTTGTTTACTAATCAGATCAGCAAATTCAGTTTTCACCAAATGAGTGGAAATGGTTAAACCATGGGGAAATTTCCTGAATAATTAAGTCGTGGATGGGATGATGCGTGAGTTTGGTAATGTGTCGAAATGCTGGTAGCAAGAGTGCATCTATTGTTTTTTGATGAGATGGCTATTGATCTACCCGCCGATCAGGCAACGTGATCGACAACCGATGTGCGAGTTCTTCCGTTCTTTTATTACTTGATGGTAATTCTTGCAGAGCTTGTCTGAAGAAGTGTAATGAGTTACGAAAACCAGCTGGACGCTTGGAATGCCCGTAGGCATTTCGACCCAGAATTCACATTGCAAGACAGTTCAACCGGTGCTGACAAGCTGAGACCTGTTGGATTGCCAAATTCCTGTTTGGAATTATCATAGTACACAACTGTGAGCATTTTCGAATCTGCGGCCATAGATCTAGACGGATTTGCACCTCGAGCCATTACATGCGTCACTCGAGAGATAACATATGCCCATGAAACTACCGTTGTGGTGATCAGTAAATCAGTAGAACTGGTAGGAGACTTGAGGTGTGGCCACAAAGGCACGTACACAAAAGGCTCAATGTCATGTCAGCTGACCCTCAATTGACTCTGGTCGAATCTGTTAGTCAAATCATCGATCATCAGGCATCTAATCGACATAGGACACAGAGCTGAACTCAACTCAGCTCAACCCTACCGAGCCTTAGTAGGAACCAAGGGACGACGAGGACTGAAGTTTCTCGAAGCCATATTGATTAGTCGTCTTAGACTTAACCTGTGTGCTCAAAAAGCCCTGATGTTTATTGACTGGTCACCTCATTTGTGATTAACATATACGCCCAAAACCGCACTGTATTTCACAGCCCTCCGACGGAAGACACTGCGAAATGATTTTTTTTCTCTTATTTTGCAGGCTGATTTCTCCGGAATGTCTTGGTTCTTAGGAACCGAGCTCTTGATTTTATTAGCCTGTATAATAATCCTGGGTAACAGGTGCACCCTGAAAGTATCTTGCTGAATGTTTTAGTTAACATGCCATGCACGATCACATAAATCAACAGTGTGGATTCTTACGGATAATGAGAAACCTATTTGAGTGAATAGCTTAAGATGATCCAAATAAAGTACTCTTTATAGTTCTGTCCAGAGGTATGAGTTCACATCACCGGAAATTCGTGAAACCCACATCATCATCATCATCAGCTGTAATAACCGCGTACTGGTCGTACACTGGTTGTAGCTGCCACAGTTTCGTTCACCGATGATTGGGGGGTAGGTAGCTGCGCATTGCACGCGCGAGCTGGTAAATTGGTGCATAAATCCAGCACTTTCAGTGAGCTGTTGAGTCGATCCGTCAAAATTCTGACGAACAGCTTTAGTTTCTTCCACACACCTTTCGTCAATAACCTTGTGGACATAACTGAGCGTATTTTGCCGTGATGTTGGCTTGGGACAATAAGAGGAACCCAGAAAAATGTTGGACCACTGTAATCGTCCATTTTAAGCATATGTGACCACATTGATGGATAGACTCCACGGAAGGGATATGTTGAGTGTTGTTTACTAATCAGATCAGCAAATTCAGTTTTCACCAAATGAGTGGAAATGGTTAAACCATGGGGAAATTTCCTGAATAATTAAGTCGTGGATGGGATGATGCGTGAGTTTGGTAATGTGTCGAAATGCTGGTAGCAAGAGTGCATCTATTGTTTTTTGATGAGATGGCTATTGATCTACCCGCCGATCAGGCAACGTGATCGACAACCGATGTGCGAGTTCTTCCGTTCTTTTATTACTTGATGGTAATTCTTGCAGAGCTTGTCTGAAGAAGTGTAATGAGTTACGAAAACCAGCTGGACGCTTGGAATGCCCGTAGGCATTTCGACCCAGAATTCACATTGCAAGACAGTTCAACCGGTGCTGACAAGCTGAGACCTGTTGGATTGCCGAATTCCTGTTTGGAATTATCATAGTACACAACTGTGAGCATTTTCGAATCTGCGGCCATAGATCTAGACGGATTTGCACCTCGAGCCATTACATGCGTCACTCGAGAGATAACATATGCCCATGAAACTACCGTTGTGGTGATCAGTAAATCAGTAGAACTGGTAGGAGACTTGAGGTGTGGCCACAAAGGCACGTACACAAAAGGCTCAATGTCATGTCAGCTGACCCTCAATTGACTCTGGTCGAATCTGTTAGTCAAATCATCGATCATCAGGCATCTAATCGACATAGGACACAGAGCTGAACTCAACTCAGCTCAACCCTACCGAGCCTTAGTAGGAACCAAGGGACGACGAGGACTGAAGTTTCTCGAAGCCATATTGATTAGTCGTCTTAGACTTAACCTGTGTGCTCAAAAAGCCCTGATGTTTATTGACTGGTCACCTCATTTGTGATTAACATATACGACCAAAACCGCACTGTATTTCACAGCCCTCCGACGGAAGACACTGCAAAATGATTTTTTTTTCTCTTATTTTGCAGGCTAATTTCTCCGGAATGTCTTGGTTCTTAGGAACCGAGCTCTTGATTTTATTAGCCTGTATAATAATCCTGGGTAACAGGTGCACCCTGAAAGTCTCTTGCTGAATGTTTTAGTTAGCATGCCATGCACGATCACATAAATCAACAGTGTGGATTCTTACGGATAATGAGAAACCTATTTGAGTGAATAGCTTAAGATGATCCAAATAAAGTACTCTTTATAGTTCTGTCCAGAGGTATGAGTTCACATCACCGGAAATTCGTGAAACCCACATCATCATCATCATCAGCTGTAATAACCGCGTACTGGTCGTACACTGGTTGTAGCTGCCACAGTTTCGTTCACCGATGATTGGGGGGTAGGTAGCTGCGCATTGCACGCGCGAGCTGGTAAATTGGTGCATAAATCCAGCACTTTCAGTGAGTTACGTAGCGATAACTGGCTTTCGGAAGTTGATTTCACTTGTAACGTTGAATTTCGACTTCGAAATTCAAAATCTCGTACATAGATGCAAAATCCAAACCGAATTTTGTGGAGAAATCAGTCTTCGTTTGTCACCAGTTTGTCCAAGCGTCCTCAGGACAAAACAGAAGAACCCAAGTTGGGCTTGGTAAAACTCAACCGTGCAAACCTATTGCCAGACCCAGCCCTGGGTGTCACGGGGCACCAAGCCTAGATGATCAAGTTACTCCACTTTGTAAACGCTAGTTCGACCAGCTAACCTGTCTCTCATATGGAATTTTTACAGGAAACCGGTGTTAACGGTGGTGTCGCTTTGATGAACCTAGAAAACTTACGAGAAAATGGATGGTGGCAATTGTGGCGGAGTGCGGTGGCGAAAACTATGCCAGCTGAACCCACTCTTAAAGAAGGCGGACAAGTTTGTCCAGTCTTCATTCTTCATCGTTTCCCTGTCTGTTGTGCCCTTATTGTAACAAATACTGGTTTAAATTTCCGTATACGTGATCAGTGTAGGCTAGGTCACCACGACTACTGGGCTAAACCGTAATTTTAGTAGAACCCCATCGACTATGATTTATTCGTCTTCTAGCCTCTAATACGAGATCGGTAGAATGTATGAACTGATGCTATCGGAATCAACTTCACCTATCAAGAAATCGGTTGGGCTATGTACGTTTTTTAGGTTGAATGAAAATCCACTGATTGGTGGCATTCGGTCCCCTCAATGATGTCTTCATAGCTGTTAGTCACAGGATGCATTGTCGGTCGGTCACAAAACAAGCAGGATTCCCTCAGTAAGTGTAGCATAAACAAGGGGTATTCGCCAGCTTTCCTGTGGAATCATGTAAATAATATATCAACATGTACTCAAGGTGCAACTTTGACAATCAGCAATGACGTAGTCGTTTACGAGTTAAATGGATGAAGTATATTCAGACGTTCGGCGTTTTACACGACGAAACAGTTGGGTGCATGAAAATACCTTCAAATTTACCGGTTTTTTGCTATCAGTACTAATATTCTAGTTCATTCTTCTATTTCATTTGACGGTCGAACCGAACTTTTCGAAAGTGTACGATTCCAGATTTCTGGAACAAATCCAACTCAATTCATTGTGGCAGATTTCACACGAAGGTAATGGAACTTGTTTATGTTCTCTACAGACTGTTTACAATGCTATTCGGAACTATGCACCCTTTCTTTTTGGCGAATTACCACGTGAGTGGAACAATCAGTTATGGGATCAAAAAGCACACGAATGCTGCCCAGTCATCTGGCCTGATCTGAACCAGCGACACAAGATGCAGTGTGAACTCGGCGGGTCATTGTCGGCAGCATATCCAAATGGACTGACAGAGGCCAAAATTATACATAACAGCGCACAGAAACCAGACAGTCAGGCGCAACCGCCAGTCCGTAATCCCAAACTGTCTATTCCAACGCGGCCACTGTTAGGTAAGCTTGAGACACTGAAGACCTATTGAATTCCCTAACACGGGATGCATTTTATCCAATCCACTGCATTTTATCCACCGATTATTTTAGGCGTGGATAGGAGCAGTGGGTTCGACAAATGAGTCCTACAAAGGAACCTACAAAATACGGTCTTGCACCTAACTATGATAACTTTGTGGTACGGTTCTGTCACGCAGCGAGCAAACAATATGATATTGCGGATTGTGGCAATACTCTATCCCCAGCTATGTTGCTTGATCCAGACTCCTAGCACGGCGAATAGTAGGAAGACGAAAACCTCGGACACAAACTTTAATAATCCAACAACACACGAACAACAGGCGATGCCCGGAGCTTCCGAACCCAAGTCAGTGGAAAGAAAGGTATCCTGTACATGGTCGGATTTAAATTTCCTTGGAGTATCAATAGGTCATTGATTTTTCATAGTTTGACCTTGAAGATGCCGGGAGTTCGCTAGCACACATAAAAACACAGCGTTTTCTGGGGGATATTGATATCCCAACACTTTGTCGACTGCTGAAAACAAAGCCGACTGTAGATTCCACCCTGGTAGTAGTAGAGTTGGGCGAGATCGACCAAGTGACTCACTAGAAACATTTACCAAAAACCCACTGCATCCATTTACTAGGGGAATTTTCAGCAGTATCCGGATACTAATTGTTGTTTTCGCACACACCACAGGAGCTATCTGTCCTATATTCCCTATATGGTACATTCTTTTCGCTTCGAAACCGGAAAAGAAAACGCCCATCCCAAAGGAAAAACAGGTGAAAATTCATCTTAAACGGAAGTTCCCGACAGAACAGCGCACGTTCCAGTAAATTTAATAGACAAACCCGGGGATACCTGAAATGGTTTTACCTCATGTGAAAAGCCGGACAGGAAATTTTTTACCAACTACGCTAAAGTGTAGAACTAGACGGGGATTGTATATTTTTGTCACTTGGTAAAGTTGAAAAGTATGACATCAATCAGATGCCTATGGATCCAATCCATACAATCAGCGATCTGCTAGTAACTATTGTCTATCCAGCTCCTCGGAAAGTAGAGGTAAACGATGGCCAGAAACAGAGTCTCGGGGAATCGGCAGCAGAACTTATACCAGTCTCTCTAATGCCAGGAATAAACAAACATGATAACCATGTGAAACTTGTAGTGTTAAGGGTTAGTGATTGATTGAGTGAATCATGTGGTTCAGGGGGTATGTGAGTAAAGTAGGGCAGTGTCTGTAATAGCTTCCCGTCAAACGGGGGAATAGTAAGTTCAGCCCCCAGTGCGATGCTTATCTTTCCTTTATAGAACGTGTTTTGGCTTCCCATAGAAACCCATCCTTCGTCTCTAATTGAAAATCCAAAAAATCTGTGCATCATGATAATCGGAGGATGTGATTCAATATGCTGCTTCACATTTTCATTTACCGAGTTGCGACGACGTGTGGAATAGAGCTATCACACATTCCAGCAAATGTCAATCAAATGCCTGGACCAACAAGGCACGGAAAATATAGACTACGCTACGTAGCACCAGAAGCAAGTGGAACTGAACCTTTTAATTAAACATCTTCACTTAAAGTTACCCGTTCCCTTGATGTTGTTCCACAAATCCGAATGAACATGCTCATACTTGAAAAGATCCAGGCAATCAAGATGGAGGATGTGGAGTGAGCAGTGGAACACACTTCCTTATTGCTGTACACATGGTAATTTCGTGAACAGAACGATCTACTACCAGAAAACGCTCTTACATATACTATTCGGGGGCATATTTGAAATGTACTCGTGATATGAGGAAACAATAACAGAATATCGAAGCAATCAAAGCCCTCAATTAGGATCTGCGACCATAGTCACAAAAGATCAAATTCAACCATTTAATCTGACGATGTTTCCTAAAGACTTGCTTTGAAATAACACAACTAGTCCGGTTTTCAAATCGCAGGTAAAACCGCATGGACACAGTTGTCTCTAAAATCCAGCACACCACAGGCCCTTGGCGGATATTGGAAACACACTAAGACAATTAATTTTGAAGTGAGTTCTTGTTGCGGTTCACCAACCGGTGATCATCTCTTATCGAGGGATCTGCTTTCCTCAATCCGCTAAGGCTGTTATTGGACTGGGACTTCCTAAGGTCGCAGTCAGTGACTTGTGTTTGCTTGCCATTGTGGGCTCCCTGCGTACTTATGACACTTTTATGCGTGGCACATGGCGTTGAAGGTACATTTTTGCCATTTAATCTCACACAAGACCCAGTATGACGGTCACTTTGTGCCTGATGTGCGAGTCTTGACTGTGCTAGCGCATACTGCGCCTTGAAGAGCATTCACCATTGTTTGTCCTTTCTTTGGTTGTTAGTCTTTAGACGCCTGTTCCCATACCAAAATCTTTACATACTTTGGGATTCACCTCATCAGACTGGCACTGTCCCTGGCATGATTTCGAATGAGACGTTTCTCTCTTTTCTCCCATATTCTCCTGTTACTCTTTCGCATTCATCGCTTGCATTCACTTCTTATGTTTGTGACCATGCTCTTCAAAAATAAATGATAATTGTAAGTAAAGTAGTATGATCATCCACAGTGACCCATGGGCTGAATCATAGTGTTTCCATATCAATAGCTGTTGGGATCGTGTGCACGAGTGGGTGAGAAATGTTGAGTGAGTTGACCACATCAAATAGTCTAACGGATACGGGAAAACTGAGCTCCGCATGTGTATCAAAACGGCAACTGATTGACATTTTATGGAGAAGTGAGGTGACTATAAGGGTTTCGGGCGAATTCACCCTAATTCGATCACCAACAACTATGGACCATGTAGGAATTGTACTCGTTCCAACTGTCGGTTCCATTAGCTCAACGATAACGGATTGGAGGGAAAGAATTGAGCCTCAGACACAACAACTCAAAGCACTGAAAGTTGGTCCAGTTATGACCGCACGGAACACAACATGAGTTATGGGTGGGTTGCATCGACAAGAACTTTGAGCTACATGTTGAAGACAATGACTCGGATCAAGGACGTTCACCGGGTGCGCGACTCTATCAGCGCAGAGGAAAGACAATTTCATAAAATGAATGAAACCTTCATCTAAGGAGGCGTCAACTGAAAAACTAGTCAATACGTGGCCAGGTGATATGGCTTCCGTGACTGCAGGATGGGTTGTGCGATGTCCAGAGCTAATCACATTGCCCTTCGTGGCCAAACTGTTGAATGTTCTTCAGCAAAAATTGGCCAAACTGATAGACAAAGTCTCTATTGAAAAACTACCAAATCTTCGCACGTCACCATCAATATATCAGTTGTGTCAGCGCATACAAACATTGGCGAACATCGTTTCAAGGTCCCCATTCAGTTTCGAGTGCGAGTGGGTTTGTTATCAGTGACTTTCAGGTTTCGTTGACAAGTCAAGGCCTACTATCTCTCTCTCTCTGAGACTGTGTTTACCTTGTGCACGGTTAGGCTAGGTGCTGTGTGGCAATAGGTTTTGCGGCATACAATGCACATCACCAAACCAACGCAATCCCTGGGGTTTCATGAGATCATCTTTCGCACGAATTGTCATCGACAGTCATTCGACAGACCATAGTATTGCTGATGTGGTTTTCTCCTCTAGAATCCGCCATTACTTTAAAGGTACAGATGAAAACTAAGTTGGAAATTCCCATGCACAGTTAAATAAATTCTGAGCGTTCCAGGGTTTGAAAGCCTACCCATGACAGATCCACTGTATTTTCACACACGACTTTAAGCATAGTCATTCCAGCACTCTATATTCCGAACGGTGCAGGAGGGAATGGCCTTCAGCAGGCACACAATCACAGCCCCAGCATAGAAAAAGAAAAAAAACAGAGGTTCTCCAAGAAACTGCCATCTTACTATTCACTGAACCAGATGACTGTAACATGCGCATTGTAAGCGGCGGCAACAGCGGAAGATTGTTAATCACAGGAGAGTACAAGAGCGTCGTGAATGCTAGGCTGAAGAGGCATTATCCCTCTGGCGGTGCCTGTTATGGGATACAGGCACTAAATATAAACGCCATATTTATGGGGAGATTTGGGGGTTTCTTCGAATAATCGAAAAGGGCCAAGGCAATAGTCAGAGAACTGGTAGTATGTGTGAACGCAACGAACTAGTGACTTTTGGACCCAATTTTTCCCTTTCTTAATCAGCGCCAGAAAGTCCACTAAAATGAAGCATGAAACGATGGGATGGGTGTAAGTCTGGTATCAGATCAGGCACAACGACATGTAGCGATGAGAGCAGCCGGAATAAAGTGGTGCTGCAGAGTTGTGTACACACTCTACTCTCTTCGCCATGTCGTGGAAAATAGCAAGTAAAAAACCTAGTCTGAAAAGGACTTAATTACAATGCGGAAGTCGTTTGGCCACTCAGGGGTTTGAGGGCAGAGACATTGGCCTTGGACAATTTCACAGATGGCGCTTCACAAGGGCAGTCGGGATCTGAAGCGTCTCCTGACATTTCTCCATTCACCAGCTGTGCATCGCCAAGCTGCATCTTTTTTAGGGGCTCCACCACGTCTGCGCTGTCCGGGGCCACATCGTACTTATGCTCTTTCAAATCAGTTCCAGTGTAGGAAGTGTAGAGCCCACACACTGCTGTTGCATTTGCCTCTTCTACGGCCTTTGTACGCAACTCCTCGAGTTCAGTGTCCGTCTTGAAAGTGTTAGCCATAGGAAATTGCTGCGCGCATAGTGCTCGGTAATTTTCTATTACTGATGCGTCAACTTCGCCGAGGGAGGTGGTATAGGCAGTCTTCAGTAAGTTCAACGCATCCGCACAAACCTGTAAGGTAAAGTTTAGCATGAATAGATGCTCGACAATGAGAAGATAGAGCTCTTTGTTACAAGCAACAGCCATAACTTATGTTATAGTATTCTCCTATTCGAGAACGAAAAGTGATCATACCACCTTGTTTTGCACGGTTGAACTTTTGGTCAGAAAATACGGAGTCAAAGTTCACAAGCTAACTTTTGCGTATTGTAACCGTCTCCTTACAGAGTGACTGCTGGTTTCGACCTTCTTTTCACAGATCCTTACTGGTGCGTGCAGAGCTTTAGTCGGGGGTCGTTCATGACTCGAATTGTAGACAAAACTCATCTATTAGGACACTGGGGCGTGAAACTAAAAGGCCATTCTGGTGACATAATGCTGTTTTGAAACTCCTCCTGGTCGTTTGCTTGTGCACGATGTGCTCAATGTTGAGAAAAAGCCTTTTTGTCGTGTATTTCAGTGTCTACTATTCCCTCCCACTAAGAAATCATACGCACATCGTGGGCGAAATTGGTACAACATCAGCACAATTGACTGTGACAACGACCAAAAAGCAACAAGACTAGCAGTAGCACGTCAGTATCTTACCTTGCTGTTTACGAGTTTCAGTGAAAACGGGACAGGGAAGATGAGATATATTTCGCCCGAGGTTTTTAAATAATTACAAATAACCACCGATTTTTTATTGGGCTTCACGGCCTCAGATGAAAAAATCGACTGCTATTCGAATAGACATCATATATATATATACATATATATATATATATATATATATATAATGTCTGCGTGCAGAGCTTTAGTCGGGGGTCCTATATAAACACCTCGACCCTTCAGTAAAACAGCCCTGCTGTTCTACAGTGCAATACAGAAGCAAAGTTCACATCAACTGACGTACCTTCCAAGAAGGGCTAAATGATCCGTCTGTTGGCAAGGGCAGTTGAGAGAGATGTGTTTTGCGTTCACCGGGGTTGGTCAGACAGCGAAGCAAAGTGGCTGGAATTAGAGAAAATCAATCACCCATCCAATAATTATTGACGTGGACTGTACCGTACAACCAAAGTAAGGAGACACAGAGGAACACACCTAACTACGGTTGATGGGACTGTGCAAAAACAGCCGCTTTAGCAAGTGGGCGCGGTAAGAGGGAGGTTTATCCCTACACCTATCCATGAATCCGAAAGTGGCATAACATTGCATCAATGGGTATTCTTCGTTAGGGAGTTTCGTTGTGAGGACCGATCATTTAATGCCGTTGACCATGGGGATTTTGAATCTCCTGATAAAAGGGCCGAAACAAGCGTAAAGCGCCGAAAAGTGCCCGTTGCAGAGAAGCTTCGCTGAGTTCAGATTTGGAAACAACTTTCAAGAGTCTAAATGTGCTCCAGCGAAGACAGTGAACCACTGATTTTTCATATCCGGTGCCTTCCGTATTAGGTGCAAACAAAAGGGACAAGTCTATTGGTATAAATCATGTATAGTTGACGATCAAAGCTAATGCTACATACACTTACACTACCCAACTAATTCTTTCTGTACTATGCTTGGTGGGTAAAGACAATCCCTTTTCGGCCTCCAGTGCGCATTCAGACCACGCCAAATACTGCAACTCAGACGTAAAAATGGTTAGTGAATTCGAATACACTGTTTTCTAATCCATGCAATGAAATTTGATGGCACCACAATATGTCAGGGGCCAGGTGATTTTATCGTACCCTTAAAACCAATGGAAACCGTGCACAGTCGATCAAATAAACAAGTCTAGTATTTTGAGACAGATTTCTACATGCCCAGTTATGATCAGCTTCAAAGCCTCAATTATAATGACGCAAACATTGTTATACTTCATTAGTGAACCGTCAGCTGAAGGTGGTTGGTGGCTGTCTGTTAAACAATTTAGACCAAAAGGAAAAAGTGGCTTATTCTCCCTTTGACAGTGTTCTGTAGGTTAGACCACAATTAGCGAAGCGAGTCAACCTCTTCCCTGAGAGTAAGTCTATGTTCAATCGGGTTCGTGTTCAGCGATCATCACGTCTGGTACGCAGTGTTCCTCACTTAGTTACTGACACCACAAAGTTAAATCCTTCAACGCACAACAATGAGGTTCTGCGCCATCCTAGCCATGAAACATGGTGACGTAGTTCGGCCTTGGTGAGGGACTGTTTTACGACTGACACCTGCAAAGCTGAACGAGTGTACTCTTAGACGACGGTCAGCAATATTATGTCTGCAGCTAGACGCGCAGAAGAAAGTACAGCGAGAAAGACTTACCCCTGAACACATGTGAGTAACTGGTAGCATTGCGTTTTTGAAAAGCTTCGTTGAAAGCACTTGGCATGGAGTTAGCAGCAGTCGGCCAACCAGGGAATAGCAAAGGAACCTCAGTGCTGAGTACCTTATGTACATATGAGTCTGGCGCTTTATTGAACATCTCTGAATACGAGTCCAACTGTACAAGGAATCGGACACAACATTCGTGGAACCAGGGATGATCGGCCGAACCGGGAATACGACTACCATGTTTGATAGACCGTAGCATGAGCAACAGTTTCTCTGAAAGCAAGAGCCAAAAACCCATTTGCCATGAAAATATCCACCATTACGCGCTGGAAACACCCTAGCAACCCACCATCAGCACACTTGATCTCGAAAGTAAAACACATAAAAACGAAGTGTTTGTAACACTGTTTAGATTCCCTCAGAGCTTTATTCTTCTGGGAAAAAGCACCGCGCCAGGCAAAAAAGACACAGTAATCAATGCTTCGAGAACTAAGTTGATTACGAAGTTACCCAGCAGACTCGAGATAGCCCAGTGGTTAGGGCCCGAACTTACTGACCGGAAGGTTAGTGGTACGAACCCAACATCCGCCCAGTAAAGCAGGCTGTGGGATTTGCAATTAACTTTCTATATAATGCCTTCACTGACCGGCAGCCTTCCTGGCTGGATAAGTTTAAAGAGTTCGATTACGCCCAACCCATCGCTTTCACATTTCTTGGACATTCCTTTGCCACTCCACCCGGTCAGTCTTCGAGACAGGCATCGTTTCAGGAATCGTATTGTGGCACCGAGTAGACCACCTTCATCGGCTCGATCAGTGACAAAGGTCGCTATGAGACCCAACTAAACTGGGTAACAGTCTCGTCTCTGGACGCAAACAGTCAAACGATGAAATGAACTAATTTTGGATGTGGACCTGTCTTCATTTCGTCGATCGGTTTTTTTCACACTTTTCATTTACACAGACTTCTTTGGCGACACAATAATATTACAGTAGCAACAAGGGCACGACCCAGGCCATGATAAAACCTGTACATATGTTCCATGAGGAACCATTCTGAATATACCCTGTAAAGTTAATTGTTATTTGATCTATCTGGGTGTTCGATGGGTAATGGTTGGGATCGCGTCCCCAGTAAGGAGATGCTCACGTTTATGGTTGCGACAAATAAACGGTGATCAGCACGCTGTCGTAGGAACCGACAGTCGTTGTTGGTTCTGGGGGCGTGTACACAGAATATTCCACCAAGATGGTGCTCATGCTTGTTATTTGTCTCCACTTGGATGCTCGAATCGCCAGCCAGAATAGTACTATCCGTCCACTTTGCCATGCGCAAAGTCTCGAAAACTTCACAAAATAGGCGTCATTGACTGCCGCTGGCTTCAGTTTGTATGGGGGGTATGCAGACAAAACAGATTTCGGGTTCGGCGTCGTTAGTAACGGGTTTTAACAAACCTGTGAAACTGTACACAGACGGATGTTCACAAGAATCTAGTCACGTAGGGTACCTTCAGCTCTCTCACTCAACGCAGCACCCACACCATGTAAATCACGGGGAGCTGCATGTGGACCACCTGATACCCGAAGAGTGGACCTCGATTGAATTGAGTTATCTTGGACCATGTTCAGACGCATTACCCTAGTATGTGTATGTATCGATTTTTGAGAGGGAGAGGGCCTGGTCTGTCTAAAAGATGTGACGTTAAGCAGATTGCTTGTTAACAGCACATGTCTGGGTTTTATTTTTCTGGGAAGAGGGCTACGAATCCGCGCTGAAATCATAAGGCAATAACCAGATATGGTCATATTGATGTGTGATAATAAGGTTGGGTCTGATAAATTAGTGAGATCACCAGCTGCTTGTAGTACAACAGTAGGTTTGGAGATACCTTGGTCACATTGCCATCCCATTCTTCTACAGTAACATCCCTCATTCCCTTCTGCCATGTCAGATTCTGTCCACTTCTAGGTTTCCGCCACTCCGAATCAGACATGGAAAACAGTATTCGTCTTGGTATGCGTAACACAGCACAGCCGTCCTAGCTTGCAGTGCTGGATGCATTTTTTGAGTGAAGTGCCGTCTGCTTCACCAAAAAACCAGCCTCCAGATCAGCTCACTGCAAATTCACTGGTTCCAGCCGAAACCTCTCAAGCATCGACGGTCAAAGACCTGAAGATGCCTCAGATTCTCCAACCAAGTCTCTAAAACCGTACAAAAATGCAGCCCGTAGTGTGATCTGAGATGTGCCTCCAATGAAACCCAGTGAGATGCTTTTTTGATGCCACAAGTGGCACAAATCGGAAAACGCAATTCTGGACTTTGAGATTTGTGTGTTCATTTCGTCTGTCAAAGTATCGTCAGAGCCAAAGCAACTTCCGAGATACGTATAGAGTTCCACAACCTCCAGTGTCGTTTCTTGAGTCTTCAGACACGTGTTCAAAAACAGTAGGTCCATCAGCATGAACCTACATTTTCTGAGTGCAAAGCTCATGCCGAAGGACTGGATAAACATGGTCAGCTTTTCAAACAATGCTTGCGGTTCCTGCTCCCAGCTCGAGAAAGCTCACTCAATTCAATTCAATTAATCAGCTATACCCGTGTCCCATATGCACACTGGTTCCAGCTGCTACAGTTTCGATCACCGGAAAACGGGAAAGTGGAATACAAAACCAAAGCTTGGAGGCGAAGGCGTGTTCAGCTTGCTCGGGTAGCTACGCATTGAAGGCAATAGCTTTGATGCACGAGCGCCACCAACTGCGCGATTGGGCCATTTTCACCAGTGTCATTAACCACTGATTTGAGCCCTGTAGTCCCCATCCAGGGAGGCAGCAGTTGCCTATCCGACTTAGTTTGCTGGTTAGTGTCTTCATACTTCGTTGCCAGGTCATACACTGTCCACCTCTCGATCGCTTCTACCCAGCACAGGGCTTGGCAAAAAGAGCTCTGGGGGCAGACAGTCTTCTGGCATGCGGAGTACATGACCCAACCAGCTCAACACTTGAAGCATAAGTAATTCATCTATCGTAGGAGAGCTCCTTCTTCCTAAGACCTCTGGCGTACTTCAGCATTACTATTCCAATGTTCCCACCAGATCTGACCAATGCTTCGGAGACACCGATGATCAAACACTGACATCTTCCGTATGTCCTCTCCGCGTAGGGGTCACGTCTCTGATCCGTAAAGCAGTATGGGTCGTAGCACCGCAGTGTAAACTCTTCCTTGACAGACAAGCTCACGGCACTTCGGCGCCATAGGTGTCGGAGGTTGGCAAAAGGCGCCGTGGTCTGTCGGATTCGAGAAATAATCTCATCCCTAGCCAGTCCACCGGAAGTTATACAGCTGCCCAGGTAAACAAATCTATCCACCACGTCGATGGGCTCACCCGCAAGCATGAGGTGTGGGTTTGATCCGACTCAGTCACATAGCAGTACTTTACACTTTGCAGCTGTGAAGCGCATGCCAAACCGTGCGACAGAGTAATTTAGGTTATTTAAAATCGTTTGCATTTGCGAAGGATCTGAACCAAGGAGAGCAATATCGTCTACATACTCGTCTGTGAGGGAACGTCTCGGGAGCACTTCGACTCCCGAGGTTTCGGAGGAGGGCAGAGAAATTTAAAGCAGCATATCAATAATAAAGTTGAAAAGGAAAGGGGAAAGAGGACAGCCTTGTCTTACATCATTGAACGTGGTGGACTCAGGCGAGAGCTTCCCGTATACTAGTACGCGCCCACTGGAGTTCGCATACAGTGCCCTCATAAGGGGGAGAAAATTGGAAGGGACACCTTTGATCGCCAGACACTGTCAAAGTTGCTAACGATCAACAGAATCAAAAGCAGCTTTCAAATTCAGAAAAACTACCAACGTAGGACGTCTGAAGGAGTGGCGCTGTTTAAGGATTTGTATCAAGATAAAGATATGGTCGATGCATCCTAGACCAGAGAGAAACCCAGCTTGATTCTCACCGATCTCCCGATAACCCACCAGCCTGCGCAAAATAATGTCAGAGAGCATCTTAGATGAAACGGATACCAGGCTGATACCAGGATGGTTTTCACATGACGTTCTCGCTCCCTTTTTGAAAACTGGGATGACAGTCGAAGAGTTCCATTCGGCTGGTATTCCGTTTTCGTTCCAAATCCTCTGCAGTATGGCTGTCAGACTGTTCATCAGGACCTCGCCATCTTCTTTGAAGAGCGCGGGATGTAGATCATCCGGGCCAGGTGCCTTGCAGCGCTTCAGGATTCAAATATCATGCTGGATTTCGGTTGCTGATGGTTGGTGTGTGTTCAATTCAGGCTCGCTTGGTTCTTCCAGCGGTGTTGAAGGAGACCAGGTGAACTGTTTTTGGAAACGATCAACCCATCGCTCAAGACGGCGATTGAGGGAGTGAATAGCTGTTCCGTCTTTTTCGCATACTGTCTCACTGACACTTGGCTTCCTTTGACCCGTTGATCGGATCAGTTGAAACAGGACACGGCTGTTGCCTGCAGCGATAGGTTTCTTTATCTCCAGGGCCTTCGAAATCCACCAGCGTTATGTCATTCTTCGAGCTTCTGATAATCCGATGTTTGAGGGGTCTGCGTGCACCAGCGTAGTCGCTAGTTGCTGGTATGACCTTTCTGGCAGCTGATGTCGAAGATATCCACTGTTCATTGAGTCGAGTCGGATGGGTTTGACCTGCATTAATCTTAATTGAGCCAGACAATCGCACAGCGCAAAGGCGAGTGTTTACTGGGACCCAGTCCAGTGAGGAGCTTTCAGCCTTGGGGCTGAGTGCAACTCCCATACCGTAGATACCATTGTGTCAGGATCACCGGATGCCCGAAGAGTCAAATATAGAACATCTGGGCTCGTCCTAAGCGGCCTACAGAGCACGACCGAAATGGGGTCTTGTCTGCGTGTTTCGGAGACACAACGTACATCGATAGAGAGGGAAAGTAAGGTTTCAGCAAGAGGTGCCTGCTGCCCAATTTGACAGAGTACAGACATTAGAGGTTGCAATGTGGATCGAATCTTTTGAGGTTAAAAGGTGATCATCTTTGGTCTATTTTTCTGGGCGATAGTTGAGACACGGAACAGTGGCTAGCGGGTTGACAGATTGGTTGATTGCACAGCATTGTAAGATGGGTTGGGAGGGAATGAGGGGAAGGCCGGTCAGCGAAGAACTGTAAGGGAAAATGATACTTCCTGTTTTCCCAAGCCGAAGAAGGGGGTTTAGTTGAGGTACTCCACCTTGAGCCTTTGACTCAAAAGTCTAACCCACAAGGCAGTAGGAGGTTTTGTTCGGGGACCCTGCATCTAGCGTCTGACTCAAGAGTCTTGACCACAAGACAGCGGTTGTTGGTTTTCTCGGGGGACCCTGCCCGGAGCCAATGATTCAATAGTCTGATCTACTCGGCTGTAGGGGGACGGCCTGGCCCGAGGTCGCGGGGACTAGGGCTGAGCACAGCGGGTGCCTTTTGAGCAGCACCGGGCTCTTTAGTTTTGAAACTATTCCGACCGCATTGAATAATGCACCGGCGGTCACAGTCAAACGTTGGGCGATCGGAGTGTGCGGTTTTTGGGGCCGACCTTTTCTGATCCGTCGTTCCTCAGGGGAAGGCAGCATCGCTGCTGGTCGCCTGGAGGAAACTCCTTACTGCCTTCACACTCCTATCGCAGGAGACAGTACCGCTTTACCTCCAGACCGCTTCGTAATACGATTACTCGCAGTACGGGGACTCGCTGTTCTTTGTCGGACTGCTCCTCTATTGACCTTTCTGGCATAGTTGAACCTTTAGGAACTTAGTTCTAGCCGGTATAGCCCATAGAATCATTGCAACACAGAAGCCCGACCACCATGAGAAGGCGACAGCTTTGGGTCGGGGAGAAAGCTCAGTGATTAAGGCGCGAAAGGTCCGCGGTTCATACATGACCTCAGCATCTCGATTGCTTCTGTCTAAGCTTGAGCAATCTGGCAGCATCCAACCCTAGTGTCTCATTCCGTTGGCATGGCAGTTAGGCTCCGAATGGGTGCTACAGCTGAACGAATTTTTTTGTTTTTTATAGTGCCCCCTGCTCTTGTTCGAAAATGAGAAAAATGTTTTCTGTATACAGCAAGTCGAGAAGGTTCTCGCCCGGAGAGATTTGAACACCTGGGGTATTGGAGACCTTTCAGAGTTCGCCTTATCATCTCATAACGAAACTGAAACGATGGACAGAGTGGGTATCCTTGTCGAACACTAAGAGCGAAAGCGGTGCTGAGTTTGAGATGGTTCAGTGGTATAGACTCGAATTTACTGACTTGAAGGTCGGAAGTTGGAACTCAGCCTCTGGGTCCCGATTGCTCCCGCCTAGGCTTGGGCAACCTGGCAGTATTACAGCTCTCGTGCTTCCTTTAGGTGGCATGGCAGCTAGGCACCGAAAGGGTGCTACAGCTGAACGTTTGTTATTTTCATTACTGAAAGCGGCGTTATAGCCGGTAACGGCAAAAAGGGGGGTTGAATTTCCAATAGTTTTCTAGTAGTTTCCAGTAGTTTTCTATCCTATACCGCTCTTACCAGTCGGTCACCTGAATAACACTAGATCAGGAAGTCTCGTTCAGCTGTAGCACCCTTTTGGCGCTTAGTTACTATGCCAACGGAGGGAAACAACGAGAGCTGGGATACTGCCAGGTTGCCCAAGAACCGACAGAAGCAGTCGAGATGCTGAGCTTGGGTTCGAACCACGGACCTGCCGGTCCGTAAGCTAGCGCCTTAACCACCGAGCTATTTCGAGCCCTGGGTTAGAAGTCGAACTGAACTCGCAGGTTCAAAAACGAATAGAAAGTTGCGCATACCGTCTATGATTACGGTTTACCTGGTTTGTCCTGTCGAAAGCACACCATTGAGATGAATTAGTGGCCAGCATGAACCTCGGTCGGGTACCCTATGGCTTGAACTGCCATAATCAACGGTCTAAGCAAGACTAAGCAGAATCTCGGGATCCCAACCCAAAAAAGGCACTGAATGACTCTACACTAAAGGCTTAGAAAGAAAGCGAGATCGTTCATTTGCTCCGAAATGACCGAAATTTTTTCCCTGAATCAACGTGCTTTTGAACACAGCGAGTGCGATACTTGTAGGACTTTGAGCACAGAGAGCGATTGTGCTGTGGCGGATGACTGGTCAAAATGCCGTCAACAAACTCATGTGTAGCTCTCGACCGAGTTAACAAATGTTATGAAACTTGTGGAAAAATCTTTTCTAGTCAGCCAGAAGTTCTGCATAGAATTTCGGATGAGTCCCTACAACCCGGGCGGCTACTGGTGATGGATATATGGGTGCAAAATCGTCATCACTAGCGTGAAAGATATTCGAAGGGAACTAAAAATAATCAATTGGACTTTTATTGTTGAATTGTAAGCGAAATTCCTGAGTTTGGTTACACAAGTAGCACAATGAACTTACTAGATGCCACAGTCTTACAGAGTAATCCAGCATCAAACTATAGCGACAATTTTACCATTTGTAGTAACAGACAACGACAATCTCCCTAGAAAGCATACAGTACAGATACCACAGTAACTAGTGTCGTGGATATCATATAAGTGTAAGGGTCGACATAAAAAAAACTAACAACCGCAGCATCCAAACCACGTGCAATACTCAGAGGTTCGAACTTACTCTTATGTTCGTACACTTCGTAAGCCAAACAATGCAATTCAATTCGTTTCGGAGCCAAATCGAGAAGTGGTCTCAAAAACTTGCAAGCTTCTTCGAGAGGATCAGCAGGCTGAATAGAGACGAACAATAGTATGATAAACTATAAGGCGAATGATACCCAGAAAATTTAGGCACTGATGCTAGGGTGTACGAAATTAAGAAATCGATGTACAAAAAACCCATCAGAATAGCCTAAAGTTGGCCACAACAAAAAGTTGTAACAAATGATACGGCATTCGTCATCGACCACGGTTATCTTATAAAGGACGAGTACAAACCAGGAAGAGTTCTGATACGTTTGAGAAGTATGTGGAAATCAATTAATTTCTCTTCAGTGAATCCAACGTATGCTGCGACTATGACCCATATAATGCAGCTTGCTGATGGAATGCCCACCTACTATTATTGTAACTACCGCCGTAGCTTGACGACAGGGAAGACTTAGCAGCATACCGACTGTCCTAATCCACGACCTGAAGTGCGTAGTGTCTTGGTCACCTATGGGCTTATGAAGGTTGTTGGTGGTAGTTACTGTCGCATCGTGCCACAGCATGATCGATCAGCTTCGGTAGAACCGTGAAATGTGGAAAGGTGAAGGCGCTGAAGCCCGGATTGCCGAAGTTCTAAAAATTATGCGAACACTGCAAATGTGTTGAGGAAAAGCTTGAGCACGACACAGGATAACAAACAAAGGTGAAATACAATCTCAAGCACCACTAAAGTATTCTGCGGACAAAATCGTAATATTCCATTAAGCCTAATTTGGTGTCAACGTACTTCTATGTCACGTTCGAGGCCAGATTAATTTGGATCAACCGGTTGCGAATCTTAAAAAATCCTTGCCGATGATATTACATTTGAACTGACTATTATTACAGATTTCACGCTTGTCAGAGAGCTTGTACATAAAAATGATGAATCACCTGATATGAGCAATAGGGTAGTTAAGGAGACTAGGCAGATGACGTATTCGGTACGTTAAGTGGTGGATATTTTGGCCTTTAGTGTACAAGGATTCCATTAGTTGGATGTGGTGTGTGTACTGCGGGACGATCACGTGATCGATAAACTACTCAACCGCACGAGTCTATTGAAGGTGTGGGTAAGACCAAATGAGCTCTGACGAGTTCCGCCCAAAGGTATATGTCAGGTCGATGTCGAGATGGCTCGGTGGCCAAGGCGCCAAATTACGAACCGGAAGGTCCGTGGTTCGAATCTGACCTCAGCACCTTCACTGCGGCTGTCTGGGCTTGAGCAGCCTGACAGCATCTCAGCCCTTATGCTTCCTTCGAATGGTATGGCAGCTAGACGCCGGAAGGTGTCAGAGCTGGACGAGTATTTACTACTATTATTATACGTAAGGTTGAAGGTGTCGGACTTCTTGCCAGGTTTCCTACTCAAAATAACCAAAGGCCCCGTCTATTAGGGGTCATTCGCTCAAATAATTCGCAGTCAACCGACAGTGTGTTACTAGAACTGCGCGCATTCAGACGGTTTGTGATAGAAGCTTCAACGGCTTTATCGAATGCTAGCAAAGCCATGTTGAGAGCATATTTTACTTCTGCTGATCATGCGGGGGGAGGTGGCCCAGGTGGTTAGAGCGCGAATTTACTGACCGGAAGGTCCGTGGTTCGAACCCGACCTCTGCCTCTGGACTTCCCCTGTCTGGGCTTGGGCAACCTGGCAATATCCCGGTCCTCGTGCAGCCTTCGGGTAGCAGTTAGGCACCGGAAGGGTGCTACAGCGGAACGAACAGGTGAACGCTGATCATGGGTAGGCGCCGGTGCTACAGCGGAACGAACAGGTGAACGCTGATCATGCAGTGGTAGTCACAAGAAATGAGCGACTTTTAAGATAATTAGGTTAGTCGCGCTTACGCACAAATATACTGCAGAAGTCGATTCGGAAGGTAGCCAAGAGCATGCCAAATCTAACTGAATTCAGCGGAGGAACTTGAATCTTCGATCTCCACCCATAGTCGCAAACTGTCATACCTATTCACTTTCCAGTCTTATTTACTGAGAATTACAAAGGGGATATAGCCTAATTCTCCATTCATTTGTTTACGTTGCGCCACTGCAGACAAACTCAAAATATAGAGACACTGTATTTATGATTTGTGAGAGTGGATCGCGCGGTAGCAACAGTAAGACCTACCATCAAGTAGGTAATCGTGGACCCAAATTCCTTTCCTCCATCGATTTGGGTTAATAAATGCAGGGAAGAGAGAGGACAATCACGATAGACCAATGCAATCTCTTGACCAAAACGAATGACAGATGTCGGGGAAGGAGGTCGGTCAGCTGGCCGCTTACCAAGTCCCACTGGGAAGCATCTGCCTTATTGTGCATACCATTAGCGTGGCTCTGAAAATCTTACTGACATCTTAAACCTTCATATACCTATTCAAGCTCTTATGTTCCATTCTCCAAAGCGAGCATTATTCCTGCCACTGCATGAAAATGAAGCTAAGGTAAACTAGAAGTCTGCTCGAATATTAGACTTTTCAGGAGCAGTCCCCGTCCACAGTACGAATGCACCCAGAGAGGCTAAACATATCATGGTGCTTAGCCTGAGGACTCACGTAAAATCGTTTTGATATTCTATGTAAATAGATCAAATCCCGCTGATCTGAAAAACTTGGTTTCCCAGAGCCTAGTCTGTGAGCTCTCAATGATAATTCCATCGAATAACTGAAAGAAGATAGCTGACACAGTGCCAAGTTTACTGAATATTCCTAGTATCTGACTAAGCCAGATAGTCACCAACACTTAATTTAGGCAGATCAAACCGAAGACCATTCGGGTCCCTAATTTGCGGCTTGTCCTAGCAATAAACTTGTGAAACTGGTTTGAAAAAAAGCGGAACCTAGCACGAACTGGCTGTTTAACCTGGAGACGTTATATTGGACGGATTTAGCCAGTGATTCAACGACATGGAATGATTAAGGCGGATATTGGTATCAACTGAAACTGCTGCATAATTTGAGAGCCATTTAACTGAATAACAAGTGTATTGTGCTGGTTTCACATAGCCTTCTTTGACTAAACAGATACAATGAAAGACAACCGCGTGAGGTCCGAGTCATTGCAGTATTCAACCCGAAAAAAGGCTCATGACAGGCTTCCTAAAACCTCCAAATATAATTGGGGGTATTCGTGGCCACTACTACATTTTCAAAGACATCGACTATCAACAAGCCACAAATCACGTCAAAGCTATATAAGTTCATCCTCGTCAATGGAGCTTACTCCCCCTTCGTTTCTCTCTTGTGTTCCCCGTGTCTAGCGGCGGGATCCACAGGTTGAGTTTTGTGAGTCACACGGAAAATCTCCGTAACCTCCTGATCGACAAGACTTAATTACGCTTGGGGTTGTCACCTCTGTCTGCCGACTTATTGTACTCACGTCAACTAAAGCATTTGAAGCCTTTCGCTGTGTTCTAACCATGCACACTATTTTCTTTGTCCATAAGAAGACACCTAGCTTAAATATTATACCACTCACTTTATATCTTCGGACAGGCAGTATTTCACTAAACTCCAGAATATTGCCTACTTCATGCTTCACTGACCACGGTCACTTTAGAGGATAAACAATCATCAATAGGCTAGCACCGCTCCACCGAGCGCCGGTGCATGGTCGCTTGCTACTGGGTTGCAGTGTTGATGGTGCTCAAAGCCCTACGCACTCATCAAAGAACTTAATGTACAAATGATATTCCCAAAAAACATCACTGAGAAATCGTAGAAACCCCTTGGGCATATTGAGTTGTGGGTATGAACCGGTAGATCCCATTCGTTTCATTTCAGCATTTCTCTATTCAAAACTCACTGACCCACACGTTTTTCGTGTGAACGGACCCGACACAAAAAATGTGCAAATACCAGTTAGTCTGCTAAGAAAGTTTTGGAATATGGAAATCAGGAAACAATCTGCAGGGTGGAAATGACTTACCAATCATTATTACAGACAGCAACCAGTATTGGCATTTCCCTACCGTACAATCGTGCAAATTTCGTCTGCCAGCCCGAAAGTCACGAATCAGTCTTGCCAGTCTTGCAATAATTCCAAAGAGCGCTCACTTATAGAGCTTGAGTAGCTCGAGCGTCATTGAAGTCGGTTTGTGACCAAGTCACGGATTGCTGGGTCATTCTATGGAAGATATCGAGGGCGCCACTCGTCCATGTGCCATGAGACGTGCGCAGCCGATAATAGCCTCTAAAATGATCTTTGTGACAAAAAATCCTATTTCCTCACAAAAAAGTTAGAACGCTCTTCTGCTGCACGGTTTAACGCTCAATCTCGGCACACGTAGTTGTTTGCCTTCGCTATTCCTAGCCATACTGCACACAAGCCGAAAGAACAAGGAGTATATGTCCTGCTATTCTAGGCAACAGAGCGCCAGTCAACAGCTATAACAAAAGATCCTATACGGAAATGAAATCGGTTGGTCGTATGCAGCCACAAAATCTAGCGATTAGTGAATGACAGTGACCAAATAGCCCTAATTTGAGGCGAAACCACTCTTAACTTAGTAACTCACTGCATTTCAGCCCGAAAATGTCGTGGATATACATTCGAACAGTAGCTCACAGCCCCACGTACTATGTGGACCCATATACTCTAGCACGCTACTCACTCGAGCGAGGACCTGTGGATCTAACCCACTGTCTGTGGTGACTGCGCGATCTGGATCAGCTTCATCCGTAGCCGGTTGCCGAGATCTGATGGCCTGTTCTCGTCGCTCTTGTTCCGCACGGGCGCGTGCAGCCTCGGCTTCCGCGCGCCGTGCGGCCTTTCGCTGTTTGTTGCGCATTTTCTTTGCCTCCGGCGTGGATAAGTCTGACAAAGTGAAAAATAGCAATCAAACGTCATTGCGCAACCAATTAGAAGAACTTCATGAAACTAAATGTATGCTTTAAAAGCAAGATCCAAGACCTTGACAGTTGCAGTAGAAGCGACGGCCCAACCGATCTCAAGCTATAGATGAAAAATAAGGACGAAAAACGAATGTGAACAAAACCAAGTGCACAACATACCTTGCTCGCCAGCGCTACGGTCAGTCTCTGCTCCCAAGGGCCGGACAGTCAAGTGCAAGTATATCTAAAAGGAGATTGATGATACGTCATGCAACGTTCAACAACAACGCAGCATCCACCTGTTGCACGTGGATGTAACAGCAAAAACGTTCGACACTTCCTAGTGCAGTAAGAACTCCCTAACAGGGACCACTTCCGGTTTCTTTAGTCAAGTTCCTATCCCAACTTATTTCTGAGAACAGGGTCCAAATACGGTCCTACGAACGTTTTTCACTGTTCATCACCTAATGTTAAACAATGGATGTAAGTTTTGCGCAAAGCTCAACTTCGATGAATGGATATGTACGTGGTTAAAACATTCCCCAAAATGCCTTCATTTTATACCGATCTGATCAGTGTGCACTGCAAGAAAGCCTCAATACACGCATGGTTTTTAACGCAGCTTCATGATCATGTAGGCAAAACAGCATGTCAGCATGGAAGACCGGGCTTGGGTTGAGAAACAACATCTTGGTAGTCAATATCTGGGAATTCAAATACGATACGGACAAAAGAAGATGGTCAGAAAATGCAAGACACTACGTGAAGTAAGCAACTTGCCTCCACGGCCAACTGAGCAGCTTCGAAATAGGAAGGATGATCGCGTAATCGGTCCTCCAGTCTTAGTGTTTCAATATAAGCTCTGAGGGTCCCTTTCCGGAGGCAGTACGAATGAAAGTCCAACTGGTCATCTAGGATGTTTCGGTAGTGCTGCAAAAATGAATGAAGAGCCATAAAGCTACCGAGAGTACAAGGAAATCAAATACACCAGGCGGATTATAGTTTTCTTATGTTGTTATAACGCCGCGTTAACAGTGGAAAAAATGTGAGCAGACTGTGAAATATTTACAGTAGCACTGATCGACAACAAATCAGCTATTGCGATCGTCCGCACGCATCTGAGTGCAGTGCCCATGGGTTCACGTGATGAGGTCTCCACAACATTGCAAGAGATGATACAGACTAAGAAATGCAACTAAAACTTGAAATCAACGGTCTTCTGGAGATGCGTTTTGTCACCCCCAACAATGCAAACCAAGTGTAATTATGATCCGCTATGATTCACACGCATTTCCAATAACTCCTTCGGCATGACGTGATTAAACTAGCTCATGCAAATGCGTGTTGGCCATATCCGCTCGGTACAACGATAACGATGGACGGCATCCAACCATATGCACTCACCAGCGTTTGTATTTGGTGAATGTCTATTTCCGATACTGTCGGCAACCCCCCGCTTCTTGGTAATCTTCATCCACGTGCCCCACTAGTCCCAGAAGGGACAGTCGACCGTCGATGCCATGACTCAACACAAGACTGTTGTTTGCACTTGAGAAGACTGAGACCACGCGACGCTAATGGAGAGTGCACACATAAACTATATCCGATTGGTGCAACAATATTAACGCAGCCATCCTTCCCATAAGGCTATCACAGTGAAGTCGTCACTTATTTAATACTCTTCCGAGTGAATCGACAAACACTGGCCACCCATTTGACTCACTATGCACCATATTGGAGTGTTTGTGGACCGACTAAGTCAAGACAGCCGCCCTGTATTTCTGCAGGACCCCTTCGCCTGTTGGACCCTGACCACACTATTCGCTGATATGCTTAGCAATCAGGGGTCATCGGCAGTTAAACGAACTTCCAAAAGGCCTGGGGATCAAGAGCTATGGTTCGTCTCATGGTTCATCCATCCTACTTCGCCAAACCTGTTCAAGGAACTGAGATCATCGACGGAACTGTTCAAAGAAAGAATAATGAAGACCCTTTTAGATTTGGAAGTGGGAACACGTTGGGTCAAATCAGTCGAGAACTCGGTTCCTGTTTACAAAATGATTGCCAGTTGTTCAAACCATCACGAAATCAACACATCAATTGTCTGGAAGCTTTTAGCAACCGTCATTTTTCGTACATCTTCGCCCATTCGTGAAGTCAAAATCCACGAACAAGCTGTTTCTCAGAATGAATACAGTTGTATCCTCACAATCCTATAAACCCCAGAGCGCTGTCATACGGAAGGGTAACCGACTACTGCCATATTATTCTAAATCCATGCTTCAATCCACTGGGCGGAACGGTGGGTGCTGTGAAGACATCTACGAAAGAATCGCACACATAACATTCGTAAACAACCTCAGGGAATGGCGTGGCGAAATCTATAGTGAAATAAGTTGAGGCTGTAACACCACTTTGGTGCCTGACTGCCATGCCACTAAGCACGAGAAGGAAGCACAAGAACGGAGATACGGTCAGGTTGTTCAAGTCTAGAAGGGATTAGTCGAAATACCGGAATTGAATTCTGAGCAAGGACCTTCCGATCAGTAAGTCCGCACCTTAACCACTAAGCTGCCTCGAGCTGCAAGAACGCGCTGCATACGGGTCAATAGACAACTATCCTAATTTTATTCAACATCTAGTTTTAGCTTCATTATTGCGATATCTTTCAAAGTACTCAGGATCCTTCACAAAGAGACCTTATCTTACCAAGGTGTGACGGCTTGTGTATCTCCGCGACCCATTGAGCCATTCTGGGGGAGGAGGTGTCCATCATTATCATCATCATTATCAACTGCAAAAACCGCGAACTTGTCATGCAGTGATTCTAGCTGCCATTGGCAAACTAGATCACTCAATGGATAGAGGTCTGGTGAACGAAATCTCCTGGTACTCCAGGTTGGCGGTTGAGACAAGTGTGGCGACGTGTTCCGTAAAATCAGTAATGTATTTGCATTTCCAGTCAAAACCCGCTGCCTTGCGATCAGGCTTTTGAGCCAAAGGATTTGGTTGAAGACACTAATAGACTTCATGTCTGGGTGTGGGCTCTCTGGCAGTATCCCAGCCCACATACAACCATGATTTGCACATACCAATAAACTCATGCTACATCAGCCGTCGCATGGTGCCATCAGCAGGGTCACCTTACTTGATGCATACAGCAGGAGGGGTAAGCGAAAACAGGCAACTGCTGCCGCCTCACTTTTTCCCTTCCACACACTTTTCCTTGCCCCCCCCCACACCACAACCCATTATTAACTCTCCTTGAAGGTCAAGTACTTACAACGGATGTTTCCGTTCGGGCTGCATCGGTTTTGCAAGCAACATCTGCACATCATCCGCACCAACATTCTCAGATTTTCCAAATCAATCTTCAAACCTCGGCAGTTAGTCTACTTAGCCACAATCTGAAGCAAGCGGGTCAAAAAGTTTCTCACGTTCTCATATTGGAATCGCCTGACACTGATGTGTGCTGTGTATCAGAAACAGGAATTCAAGACGAAAGCGCGGTGGTTGAGCTAACCGCCCCATCAGTCTCCAATCGCTTCTGGTTACGCAGTTCTGACGATCCACAGGCTACTGCAGCAGGATGTGCGAGGGTCTGTATTGTCCTCAATTACCGAGGGAAAACACCATAGCTCGACTGGATACCCGCCGATAATCGCCTCTGTACACTTCATCTGGTGGTCTGTGAAGGAGCCTCACAAGCAAGAAGTTGGTCATCATCATCATCATCATCATCATCATCATCATCATCATCATCATCATCAAAGACAGCAACATCAGTGATACCACTGATGCTTAGCTGCCGTAAGAAGTTGGTCGATGTCTGTCTGCCGTGCCCGCTTACACCCCAATTGACTGTACCTCTGACACCATCAGAGACAAGTTTTATGACGCTCTGAGTGCTCTTTTGCGGCGAGCTAAAAGCTCAGAAACCGTTATGAATGCCAGAGATTTAAGTGTACAACCAGGCAAGCTCAGTGCATCTGAGACCCAATTAGGTGGTCGACATCGATTGGACTCAGTAAGGAACTATTGCTTCAGATGCGTGCTGATCGCAGGTTGTTTTTATGCAGTACTAACTTCCGAAATGGCCGAAGTTACCTGGCCACATGGTATCCCCCAACGGCCAAGTTCAAATCGATCACATTGCCATCAGTTACCGATGGCCTGGATCAATAACTGACTGTCGGTCGTTTTGGAACACTCTTCCGGAGTAGCTTCCGTCTACGTCTTTCGGGGTCGCGCAAAATGTGTAGGGACCGCTCGGCAACTGAGAGACTGGCAGATCCGGATATTAGACGAACAGAATCGCATTCTAGAGGCTCCTCCAGATGCCCCACTATCAGATGTGACTTCACACTGGGACCAGATCGTCACTTCTTGGCACAGTGCTGGCAGTTTTGCCTGTGGCAAGATGCTACCCGACCCACTCATACACCAGATATCAGAACGAACGGTGGCACTCCTTAAATCTCGGAGAAATATCCCAGCCAGTCCCGAACACAACTTGGCGCGACGAATTATCAGACCTCAAGCGAAATCGAGCGTCCGAGCTGACCGTGAATTCTGATAAGCATGAAAAGCCAAGGAAAGAGGAGAGGCCCAGACAGTCGGGAGTGCACGAAGATTACTTCAGTTGACCCGTACATTTGGCCCCAGAAAACCACATGTAAGCAAAACCACCAAGGATCGAAAAGGAGTGACCATCTTGAATAAAAAAAAGCCTCTACCGGTGGGCCGAATACTTCGAACAACAACTGTCGTGGCCACCAGCTGCCACTCATCTGGAGCCTGGAACCCTGGATTTCAAAGTGGCACTCAACTCGGTTTGTCTGTCTGTTCTTCTTGACATGCTTGCCCACCAAGGAATGCCCTGGAAGTTTGTGAGCATAAAACGTTCTTCGTATTTTCGGACTTCAGGATGCGAGAGTATATGGAGAGCTCTTCAAAAGCTTCCGTACACAAAGCGGTGTCCGTCAGGAGTGCCCACTATCGTGAATATGAACACATAGCTCCTCCTGACATCACGGATTGTACAAAACCGGTGCGAAACAAGACACGAAAAAAGCTGCACATTCAGTGAAATAAACCCGGTATATCTTGCAAAATTTGTGTGACCCTTTCAAGTCTGTGGCGGGAACTTTTTTTCAAAATGTCCATCCTTGACTGCTTAACGCTGTGATCCATGTGATCGACCTCGGAAAGCAGATGACTATGTCTGTAGGAGGCTTGTCCATGTGACATTTTCCTACTTACGGGAACGCAGACGTTTCGCTAAAAGCTACCAGTGATTCCATCCGTTAGTAATGGCTCCGCACTGAATAGGCTCAGGACCTGCCTCTTATGACTCAAAGACACCGGATGTTGTGGAGACTTATCTATCTCCGAAACTGCCCCGTTTTATACGGTGATGTGAATGCATGCGCGTTAAGGGTTAGAAGGCGTTTAGCTGTAGCACCCCTTTCGGTGCCTAGCTGCCATGCCACCCGAAGGAAGCACGAGGGCTGGGTTACTGCCAGGTTGCCCAAGCCTAGACAGGGAAGTCGAGTGGCGGAGGTCGGATTCGAACCGCGGACCTTCCGGTCAGTAAATTCTCGCTCTAACCTTGGGCCATCTCTGCAGCCTGGTCTGGCCATTTTTTGTTAACTGTCTTAAAAGGGTCTTTGAACTCCTCCCCGTCAGTTCCCCCTGATCTGGTAATAAAATCTTTTCGATTGAAGTTGCATGCATTTCCCAATTATCCCATCGTTCTAGGATACTTCTACTCGGCCTCAAAATTGCCCTATGTAATTTGGAACATAGGTCATTTTGGTTCCAGCTTTCGGATACAAAACAGTGAACAGGAGCTGTAATGCGTGTCGTGTTTTTGAGGCTGCGTAACATGCATGCTAATCTGAACTACTTGGAGCAAAATGCCGGTGTGCCACGGGCGGGTGATTGGGGGCTCCATGTGAATCCCAAAATGACCCGAATACCTGTATAGAGAAGCCCGAGTTGAACAGTTGACAATCGACCAAGTTACCATTCATAGAAATACTCACCTGTTCTATTTCATGACAAAGCTTTAAGGCTTCGCCAAATTTACCCATTGTTTTCAGTGCACGGGCATTTTCTATTAGAAACCACATGCATTGCATCTCCGACAAGTAATCCGCTGCCGACGTATTTCCCTGAAACAGTAATCACCGAAGGAAAATATAGGCTTACTCGGGTAAACTTGGAGGCCATCGATACGGCATCTGTAAGGCGATGCGCCTGCACCATCAAGTTTGTACAACGAGCATTTATGTAGCGGTCAGCAGTATCTAATGATTGGGCTTCCTCCATCCATCGACTCGCTGTAATCACATCACCGGCTGCACTGTACACGTCAGCTTTTAGGACGTAGAAGTCAACCAACGTTGGAGTAGACATCAGTTGGGAGTCAATCACATCGAGGGCATCCTAAGACTGTTGGACTAAAGGATACCAAATTACCTGGTATTGACCTTTATGGTTGAGGAATTGGGCCTGAAGAAAGTTCAACCAAATGTCTGTAGATGGAGGTTCGGGGTCGTCCGGAGAATGGAGAGAGTGACAAAGAGACATAGTGCTTCTGTACTTAGCGAGCAACTGACCCAGCGTTTTGAACTTTTCATCATTTGACCATAGACCCATAAGCTGTACAAATAATGGAGGAGCTCCTCTTCGCAGATGGTACCGCAAATAAACATCAAGATGATTCACGAACTCCTCGCCTATTACGGTTAGTGAAAGGACACAAAACCCCACCTGAGTACAAGTCGAGCAACAATCTTCGAGCCAGTCGTGATCTAGGATACTTCGCAAGTACTTCGTCAAAAGTAACCTTGCACACTGATTTGCCTTCAGCGGACTCCGTGTCAGTACATCCGCTCGCCTTGCACAATAAGTCCAAGTACAAATGATTTTCCGGGTTGCGGTCGACTAGTTTCCATATGCACTCCTTTGCGCCCGTCAAGTTTCCCGTAGATAACAAAAGCTGTGCTGAGAAAAATGTAGGATATAAGAAGACAAGTACCTTTCATCTCCAGCAGAGAGGTTTTGTCTACAATCTCATTCGCAGAGTCCTCTAGATGTTTCAGGGCAGCCTCGTGCTTGCCAGCCTCCATCAGTACCATTGCCTGATACAGCAGCAACTCGCTGGTTTCGTATCCGGCACCAGGTTCTCCCTGGCCCTTCCTGAATTCGTTTAAAACCATTAATGCCGTATCGTAATTCCCAAGCAGATGATGTATTAATGCATAGCCGATCCAAGAAGCTCTCTGACTTGGCCTAAGCATCAGAAGTTTGTATCGCGTGTCCTAAGGAAGTAACGGCAAACAAAAAAGTTTTACCTTGCACCCCTCATAATTTCTCAGCTGCATTTGTAAAACGGAAAGGTCCCTGAGCACCTGCAGATTTTCCGGATCCAGGCGTAATGCTTGAAGATAACATTTAATAGCTTCGTCATACTTCCTGTCGGACTTTTGAATCAGCCCATATATGTGCCAGCCTGAAACAGATGAGCTGCGAGGATCGGAACATACACACAAAACTCGAAATATTAGCCTTGAGACCACGTTTCACGTACTCGCGCGCCTCTTCTTTTTTACCCAGGCAGTTCAACAATATTCCTTTCATTGCCAGGGTTTCTAGAGGAAAATAACCCAAAGAGAAAGGCACTACCCCCATGTTCAGCAAACTTCGGGTTCCCGAGGATCTGTTTAGTGAACTTCAGACCATTTTTGTACTGCTTCTGGTCATAATACTTCTGAAAATCAACGAATCAGAATCGAAGGTACAGGGCAAGTTGACAACGAATAAAAATAGGAAACGTGAGAAAGGCAGCAACAAACGCACCACGATACGCTTGAAAATAGACACTTCTTTCGGGGGAAGCAAGTTTGGATTCGCCTGTTTATCCATAAACCTAGGCCACGCGCGCAAGCGAAAGGGGTTTCAAAAGACGCGGATTTCCTCACCGTCGGTTAAAACAATTTTCCTATTATTGTACGGATTATATGATGGAAGTAAACATAAGACATTCTGTTAAGGTTATTTGTAAAACATGAATTATGTGCTTTACGACAGAAATAGACCAGCTCCCATGCAAATGAAGTGCATATCAGTACCCACGAGAAAGGATACATTCTCCTTCCCGATTGAGGGTACTCGTAAGTTAGTTCTTAACGAACAATCTCGCCTAGCATTCAACCGACTGAAGTCCTGCTTGACTCACTCGACGTTCTTGCATTATATTCCATCCGATCCACACACCAAGTTGTACCTCGCCACAGATACCTCGCAAAAAGCAGTCGGCGCAGTCCTTCAGACAATGAAAGATGCAGAATTTTAACCTCTCTCATTCTTTTCAAGACGTCTGCAGCCCGCACAAACCCGTTACAAAACGTTTGGAAGAGAATTATTAGCTGTATATCTGGCAATACGCCATTTTCGACATCTTTTGGAGGGTCGATATTTCCCAGTTTTGACGCGCCATAAACCATTGATCTTCACCATCCAAAGTACGTCCGATCGATATTCTCCCCGAGAGGGCCGGCAGCTGGCATATATATCTCAATTTACGACTGAAATCCGTTATATTGAAGGTAAATCAAATGTAGTTGCTGATGCACTTTCACGTATGCGGATTGATTCTTCAGGCTTTACGACCCATTGCAAGGAAACATAAAAAGCCCTAAGACGCCGACTAATCGATCAGGTCAAACGGGGAGCTCCTTGGCCGCACAATGTTCTCAGCTGCAGAATCTTGGTGACTGGTATAAATTTTTTCACTCCAAAATGCTGGATTTTGTTGTAAATTTGCTTAAGCGAAAAATCACCCTAATCTATTTTCATACACACGCAGCTCACCAAGTTTCCCAGTCCAACGAAGTAACCATACATCTGACAGAAACATTCTAGCGGAATAACTTTCTCGCGTCACTGGGATCCTGGGATGCCTATATAGGGCTCAAATTTTCGACCGGTATTCTGAACCTGATTGTCTGTTAGTTTTTCGTCGTAGATTTCAGAAATTCAACTCGCTCCCTCGAACACTGCGCACCGTGAAAGAGCTATCCATAATTCCAAAGTGGATATTTTCTTCGACAGCTTCGGGGCCAATTACGCACTCCGGAACACCTTTTGTGGTTTTACATTTTTCTCTCTCAATATATGGGTTCATCCCTGTCTAGAACTGTGGCCTGTTGCCCGTGATATCCGCACATATACAGCCATCATTACTTACACCCTGCTTACTTTTTGCGGAATACGGTCTCTGAACTGTTTTTTTTCGTTTTTTAACCATCATGACAGCAAAGTTGCCAGAATGTCGAATGTGGAACAGCACTTTCCAGTGTCTTCGAGATGCGATCCCCAAAGATATATATGTACTGCAGTAACATAGAAGCCCATGTATGGCAGAGTTAGTTTTGCTTCCTTGAGTGAGATTCAGCGTTGCTTTTTAGATGGCTTATCCAAAAGCATGCTTCTTGGTTACTCGGCACTATCTTAATCCCGTTTGAGTCTGCACCCATCAAAACGGCTTTTACATGAATAGATACTGCTAGTATATCAAAAAACGAGGTTTCCATGTGAAGTCTGCCGGAGGAAGGACAATAAACATAAATCAAACAATAATTAATCAGGCGAAGGTGTATCGCATGCGACAGTGTTAGCGACAATGATAAAAACAAAAGAAAACCTTTGCTTACCAACTATACGCTCGGGAAACTTTCCCTTCTGTGATGACTCGTGGAATGCCACGGACCGGCAATGAACAATTACAATTTGAAGGTGTCAAAATCTGTGGCCCGTATTACTCTATCAGCAAGCTTCCCTCAGAGCCTAACTCGCCCTATAAGACAATCGTATCTCAACACCAATCGAGCCGCGAAGGCCATTCATCCGAACATAAAATCTGTTGGGCGTTTTTCGTTTTCATCGCGCAGGCTTATACGAGAGCCATAAATTTCCTGGTTCCGGAAAAGTCAGCTTTTTCGACTTTCGTAGCTCAGTGATTTCTGAGCATTCCTTTCTGAGCACCAATTCCTCGGAATAATTTAGCCGGTCCTTAGTTGGCAAATTTTGGTTTCTACGAGAAATTAATCGGACCAAAATTTTACGTAATGGTGTGGCATTTTACTAAATATATGCTCACACCAAAAACCGCCGCAACCTGCCTCGGTTTTCTTGGAATTCGTTTTATTTTAGGTCATCTCTCTTTCTGAAATTTTACAGTTGCGGGACTGAAGCTCCATGTATGGTGTCTGAATTTTTTGTTGCAAAGTTGGCAGCTGGCCCACTTTTTACCCTTCACGGAACTTGATGGCTGATACTTGTTCAAATTGGGTACAAAAGCTTATTAACTATTCAGGCAGGGGGCGAAAATGAGTAACGCCATTTGGTTAAATTCGGCACCGCTAATTTATGCCTCGCTAGGCGGTCGTCCGTGATATTTGTAAGATGAGCATAAGCGTGAATATACTGTTGCCTAAATTATGGTTGGAATGTAGGCGTCCGTGTGGTGCCGGTTGCTTAGCTCGCAGACATCTAGGGAATTAGTGTTATCATATATTTCAGGGTTCTATGGCGAAAAAGAGGTAGAAAGCTATCACTGACAGGTTTCAACGTGGCGCACTGGTAAAATGAATTCGTTATAATAATAAAGTTTGTACCCAAATGCTGGGTGACACGCTGTCAGGCATTATCAAACTGTTACAATCTGAATAGCAGCATGATTGTCGGGGGCAGTGAGCATGTATGATTGTGCGGAAAACGGACGGGGTCATGAACAGTGGGCATTTTCCTATGTAGATGTTAGAATTTGAAGGTGGCTGGCAAGAAGAAAACGAGTGAGGGGAAAACAGGAGGTTTCCCTGCTGATCTTTACTGGCACTGACAAGAGAATTGCAAATTGCGGAAAATGAGGAATGACAAAGAAACGGTTGTCACACAGACCTAGGAAGCTGGTGGCCGAGTGTTGCCCGGCAGCTACAGGCCTATTGGTCTCACCGGCGTACCGTAAAAGGTATTGAACATGTTCTGAAGCGCGCCATCATGAATCACCTTAACACAGAAAATTTGGTTTATACCCAGTGCGACATGAATCTTTACCGAACCGCTCTTGCCTGACAAACCTGCTAGTGGCTACGGGCGTCACCACATAATGGGTGCCATATTTTTCTACTTCACAAAGGTATCTAGCTGAGTCCCACCCATTNGGCACTGACAAGAGAATTGCAAATTGCGGAAAATGAGGAATGACAAAGAAACGGTTGTCACACAGACCTAGGAAGCTGGTGGCCGAGTGTTGCCCGGCAGCTACAGGCCTATTGGTCTCACCGGCGTACCGTAAAAGGTATTGAACATGTTCTGAAGCGCGCCATCATGAATCACCTTAACACAGAAAATTTGGTGTATACCCAGTGCGACATGAATCTTTACCGAACCGCTCTTGCCTGACAAACCTGCTAGTCGCTACGGGCGTCATCACATAATGGGTGCCACATTTTTCTACTTCACAAAGGTATCTAGCCGAGTCCCACCCATTGCCTTGCCCCAAAATATTTAGTCCTACGGGATATAAGGATAAACTCAACGCTGAATAAGGACGTTCCTATTCGACAGAACATTCGGAGTGAAACCGGGCTTGGTCTACTCTTCTTCAGCGTTCTCCATTTAGAGTTCCTCACGGCTCGCTTTTGGGATCACTTCTGTTCTTGACTTCCGTAAAGGACTTTCCAGATGTTCTCTCGAGTCCATGGTGACTTGGAATCCTGAGGTTTATTCATCAGTGCCCTCCAAATGGATGTTGACGCTGCCAAGCAATGATCGCTGGATTGGTGCCTTCCTTTGAATGACGAAGGAAGAGGCTCAATAAACACTTCTGTCGTGTATGGTGAGAGCGGACCAGAAAACGTCCTGAAGATATACGACGAAAAGGATTTGGATACCTGGCTATCGTCAAACACGTTCTTACCACTGCACGTTGAAAAATAGACACGGATGGCAAGCACTATTCTGTGGATGATTCAGCACACCCTCGCCCGAATTTTCCGCATAGATTTTCAGATATTATAAAGGGCTACGGCGTACCGCTTCTTGAATACGCCAGCTAAGTTGTCTACTCAGAATGCGAGGAAGACGTAACCCTCCTTGAGCGTGTCCAACTAGCAGCCACAAAGATTGCTGCCGGTCTCAAATGCGTTGATCATGAAATGCGTCCCGCAGTGCCTATTTCCTCCGGAGTATCGTCACCTGCGAGGATACCTGATAATTACTTACCCTGTTATAACAAGTTTTGGACAGCAGTCGTCGAACTGCTGACAACCAGCGCACGGCGAGGACATGGTAAGTGGATTTTCAAGCTCAGAGCGCATAGATTTATTAAACAACAGTTTAGCTCATTCCGGGTTGTTGGTGTATGGTCTAATCTTTCTGTAACGGCTTTCCAAAGTGCATCTTGTACTAAGTACATATGACTTTTAGGCGCTTTTTTGCTGAGCCAAAGAGCCGGCATGTTTGCTACTGAACGCCGAAAAGTTAAGTAGCAGTGCTCCACCTTCTTTCTACTTTTTGGGTGAGCAAGAGCCTCCGAACGACTAGAAAAAGTGCAAATTGGGAAGTCATGACGAAAAACTTTAATTCTGTGTATCAATTCGTGACGGCCAAGGACAAGGCTGTTCAATAAAAGACGGCGGGATATACATTGGCGCACTGGGGAAAGAATAACAATACACTGATACACAAGGCACATCGTGTTCGATCTGACAGTCGAGGTGACTGCACGCCCTAGGCGGACACACCCTAGGTTCTCAAATTGCTACACCCGTCGGAGTGAGTGAAATTGATGAATACACACTGGATGAGTAAGTCGTGGATTCATTGATGAACGAGACAAGTGGAGAATTTCAAGTACTCTTGAATACTTTGAGGATGAAGGGTAGTTGATATTGAATTTTGTACCGCCAAGACG